TTGAGTGCTCGCGACACCTCACATTGAGAGGACTCTCAAGATAAGATTCACTTCCTCACGGTAAGAAGCAATGAAGAGGGTAGATAAGGAAGGAAGCAACGTACCTCATAATGCTGCCCCCAACCGCAGATTTCTCACCGACAACCTGATGTGCATTTATGATGACCGGTCCCTGCCTCGGCACAACCAACAGCAGAATGCAGTTCCAACTCGGCTTAAATGCCACATCAGCGAGCTCTCATCATCCAGCGTGCAGCCCTAATGTCACCACATAGCTTCCTGGCGTGCCCACACTACCCTGGGCCGCCTAATGTCCAATCGCCCAAGCCTTATCACTGCCCCACACCTCATGGGAAGCACCGAACAGCTAATGCGAAGAACCAATGAGCGCAGTTCGAACCAGCTCCTATAAACGACCATTTCGTCAAAATGGACATTTTTATTTTTCGAACGAAATTGAAACTGAGTTTTTTAGCCGAAAACTCGTCAAAATTTGCTGTTCGTGAGGGTCCTGCGTTTTAGAAACGCTGGACCCCCTGGCTGTACGTGGACCTAGCTTGAGACCAGGTACCTCCAGGCAGGACTGCCTGGAGGTACCTGGTCTCAAGCTAGGTCCATGTACAGCCAGGGGGTCCAGCGTTTGTAAAACGCTGGACCCTCAGGAACAGCAAATTTTGACGAGTTTTCGGCCAAAAGACTCAGTTTCAATTTCGTTCAAAAAATAAAAGATGTCCATTTTGACGAAATGGCAGTTTATACCAAATTGCAAGGAAAATAACAGAAGAGAGATGACAATATTCAGATTGCACAATCACATTGAAAGCCAAATCGTAACAGTGTTCAGGAAGCAGCATCGCAACAATATAACACCAATGGAGAATCGTAGCACTGAAAGTCAATGTCAATGAGAGCTTGCTCTCGCCACCACCAACATATGTATCCAGTCTCTATCTCCCTWYCTGGCGCTCGGCGCCCAGCCTACTCCCTACACAGCTACTACTAGCCTACTAATTGACAATGCAACTGTTGACGTCAGCAGCACCCGAAGTACTTGAAGATGTCGCCCATGCAGAACCATCGCCAATACCAGGTATGTGCCATCACATCAACATCATCACCATCCTTCTCTCTCCCCCTTGACTCTCTCCCACGTCTTCCTTTGTTGTACACCCGAAGACCACCCCTGCGCCTCACTGTACATCCAAGCCCTGCCAGCTATGGAGGCTGGGCTATGGCGCTGCCCTCAGCAGCGCCCTGCTCCCTGCACGACCTCACATGCCTGCACCTCGCCGCTCAGCGCTAGCAGCAGCCCACGAGCTTCAGCTCCAGCAGCGCTGCCGCCAGCATGCGAGTGCCCGAATGCCTGGCCAGGCAGCGAGCTCTTTCCTATATGGAAAGAGCCTGCCTCATTCGGCAGCCTGGCTGGACTGGTCTGGGTCCAGAAGCTTCCGGTAGGCCCCAGGATGCTGCGCCTCTGGTGCAGCTACTGTGCCTCATTCGGTTGGGCCTCCCAACTGTCTGTGTATGAGGCTGCAAATCTCGCCCAGGGCCTGTGCTTTCGGAAAGGTCTAGAAGGCCTGGGAATTTCCACGCTGCTCGGCCTGTGTTTTCCTTCAACCAACTGGGGCGACGAAACTGCCTGGACCCCAAATACAGAATTGACAGCAAGGGCCTCTCGTAATTTGTTTGGCCCGCCTTCACTTAGGGCGGGCACATGTGCTGCAGGGGCCCCTTAGGCCTGCCGAGGACCCAGATCCTCGCACAGTGCCCAAGGCTTGAATTAAACCACCAGTACCTTTCTCATACATCGGCCGCGGGCCCTGCACACCAAGGGCGGTCGACGTATGTGGCCATCGGAGGAGGCCAAATCCGCCTTCCGTGTTAACCGGCGGCCTTTTTTTTTTTGCCTGGGAAAGGTACTGGAGGTTTAAGAAAACATTGCAATGATAGCCACACACCTCTCCCCATTACAGCTAGAAGAGCCAAAGTCATTGCTCGTGAGCGAGACAGATTCCATGCTGCATCACTGCTGGAGAGAAGGCAAGAGGCGTTGATTACTTCCCCAAGAGAAAGGATTGGCCTCTCGCCAATCATGCACAAAATGATTATCCCACAGTCGAACTGCTCGGCGCCTTCATAACAACAACTATTACCCCCTGGAGCCCTATGATCATGCCAACTCTCTGACTACGATCCAAATGACAAAGAACCAGACTACAGGGCCCCCACTCCATCACCCAATCCTTGCAACACAAGAGCATAACTAATCCCTGCTCACACGCTGGAGAGCCCCCCATGTACTAAAAGGGGCCAAGAGAAGAGTTGGATAAGAATTCCCGAAGGGACATGCTAAAGCCACCCAAGCTAAGATGCGGCCAGGGAGACAGAAGAGCCTAAAAGCATAGGACCACTGCTAGAAGGTCAAGCCAGCGGTGGCGAGAGACCACCTTACACATCCCCCCAACATCTGAGAAATGTTTCCCATCCTTATACACACAGAACAGCTGACAAAAGGTATTCTTAGCCGAGAAAAGTATCCTCCCGTGCAGTTGTATGGCATGCCGCCTACATAGTAAAAAGGACAGGTAGTTTTTAATCGGTAGGGAGATTCCCCAACGGCATATGAGTAATTGACAGAGGTGGCAATTCAACAGGGAAAAAAAACAGTCGGGCTACCTTGTAGAGCCAGCTGGAAAAGACCGAAAAGCCAAAATTCCAAGGTAATTTTTAATCAGCAAGGGGATTCCCCCACGGATATGAGCAATGAACAGATAGCCAAACGCCCAAACTCATAATCAATGGAGAGGACCCCAGTTGTATTGTCGGTTTCAATTTTCAAGGGGCCCGCCCCAGTTATGTTGCCAATGTTAAAGCATTAAGGAGAAAATCCCGCAACAGCTCATCAACAGTCAAATAGCCCACAACTGCCCAACTCTGGAATCAGCAGGGGAAGAGCTGCTCTCTGCTTGCCAAAGAGAACCAGCTGGAAAAAGGGCGCGGAGCCAAAATTCGAGGGTGGTCATCAATAAGAGTCCGGTCCTATGAGCAAACCAAAGATAGCCAACAAACGTCCAAACGAATACTCAGCCAGGCGAAAGACGCTAGTCAGATTGTCATCGAAACCAGTGCAAAGGAAGAGTGAGATATGCACCATCCATCGTGAAAGACTTCTTGTACCTTTGTACATAATGAGAATGACAGAGGCATTGATGTCCCTTTTTTTTCATTTTATTTTATTTTAAGAGAACCAGCCTTGGCTTACTAGGTGATATCTTTTCTTTTTCTTTTGTAAAGAATAACCAGCAACTATGGCTACGAGTGGTGATAAGAGCACCCACCCCTAAGCTGTGTCACTGGTGACTCCAATCTATTGGTGGGAGTGCCACTTGCTGGAAAATGGGCCCAGCATCCCTGGAACATGAAATTTGAAATTCAGAATCAGATGTGTGAGCGAGAGACAGCCCCTTCAGTCCACACTCGGCTCCCCGAAAATACATGAGAACCTAGCTGTACTGTAGTGGTACCCCTTCGACCCGGCAGTGAGGCCGGACCAGTTTCAGGCTGTCGGCCTGACCCCGGTCCGGTGCCGGGTTGCTCCGGACCTGGACCTAGGCCGATATATCTCTCTGGCCTAGGCCCAGGTCGGGAGGTTGGTTCTTCCATTCCTGGGTTGTTCATTTGTTCATTCAGTCGGACTGGACCACACCACGAGACAAGGGAGGTATCGAGGGCAACTTGGACCAGACAGCAGTGACAAGCACCAAGCCTGGGCCAACCCCCCAGCCCTAGTGGAAGCAGATGCAGATGAACCTTGCCGTACGGGAACTTCGGACACCAGGCTCAGGCAATCTTTTACAGGCCCAATTCAGAGAGTCTACCCAGCAGGAGTACCTAAGCAAGGCAAGCCAGCACCCACGGACACATCCTACCGTTCTTCCCCTAACTTACCAAGGCTTGGCGGAACTCAGACTAGCCAGAGCGACTTATATCCCTACCCTACTCTAGAGCTAAGCCATGCGTGAGTAGACCCCGTCATGTACCTGATAGACCCCCCCATCCACGTATCATAGTTGTGTATATATGTGTGCCCAGAGGCTATGTATGTTTGTATGAGCCCAGCCCGTAGGCTATGTGTGTATATTCACGAGCCATGTTTGTGTCGGCCCGAAGGCTATATGTGCTCTGTGTAACTGTATAACGAGATGTATATGCCCGAAGGCCAGATATGTGCAGTACTATGTAGAGGGAACTATGTGTCCGTTGAAGAGATGACAGGCCAAGCTGGACAAGAGCCCCCCCAAAGTCCTAAGCCAGACTCGAACCCATGATCTATGACGTGTGGCCTGAAGACTACCATTTGAGCAACAATCGCAAACAGCACCTGTGTGTGATATGCCAGACAGGGGAGATCAACAGAACAACCACGGGCAACAGCAACAAGCAACCCACGCAGTATCAAGACCCGACATACAACACCGTGGACAACCCTTGGGTGGTGTGCAGGCAGTGTCTGTAATAGCTTACCATGCGTCAGCCTCCCCATTGGATTGAGTTTGTGTTAATTAGTGTTAGGGAGACACGTGCACTGTCAACTTTTGGTCACAATTACGGTTGAATTACTTAGGGTTCGGCTGGGATTCTCCGTTATGTCTCTGCCCTGCTACAATTCCCCCCGACTTTTTATGGCGCCAAGGGTCCACGTAGTGGTGGTTGATCTGAGCAGGGTAGAGATCGATTTTGCATGGCGCGAGGTTAATCCTTCCTTATCGGGGAAGCAATCAATGCAGCTTGCCCGTGGCATATTCATGTCATATAGGGAAGCTGTCTCCACGGAAGACGTGGCTGAGGCTATCCCAGCCCTGATGGAGAGGTGTGTGTTTGCTCTGTATGGGATTTGATAATTTGAGCCTTGAGCAAAGGAGGAAGGGGGGGGATGGGAAGGGATAGAGAATCAGTTCCCATTCATCTTTCATCTCCCTACTAGACTGCAGGTCTCAGGAGCATATCTTGCTCCTTTATTCCACCTGGGGGCAAGTCGAGTTCACAGCCAAGCCCCGGTCATTCTCAGCCTGGAGGCAGTTCAACTCCGCAGTAACCACTCAGTTTGTATATACAGATCCTCTTGTGGGGCCCCTTTCCCTCAGGCCCCTATCCCTCCCTTCTCTCGCCCCACCTTCATACGCCAACCATTGTTAGAGCGTCAGCTCCTTTCAGCTGCTCGCTCTCCACCCACAGGTCTCCTCCGTCACATAGGCATTCCCGGCTCCTCCCGCCCTTCCTCCTCCATCCATTCCTCTTGTCTGTCCGTCCCGAAATTGGCCCTATCCACCCTACCGCTCTCCTCCCCCGTCAAGGCACTTTCACTTGCCCCAGCCAGCTCATCCGACACGGGGGTGGCTGTCCTGTAGGGCCCTTCCACTTCTGTCGGCATATGCTCTTCTTCTATAGTTCGTTCGCTCCCCCTTTCACTTGCTGCAGGTATTGCTCCCTTGCAGTGCTCTGGAAGTTTCCTCTGCCAGAGGCCTGGCATGTTGCTTGTCTGCACCACATCCTCAAATCTCCTTCATTTCTGTACAAAGCGGGGCCAACGGTTGCCACACCATCTCCTGGCATCTGTGGCCACAGTGGAATACAAATTGGAGAGCACCATCGCTCTCACGGCCTCAAACGTTGGCTTCCGGTCTTCTAGCATGGCCCAAGTTCTAAGGGCCAATACTGCGGCCAAAAAGGCCGGCCTGAAGGTTTATGTCGCCTCCGCCTCTTCTTTCAAGTCCTCGTGGCCCGCCAATTGTGAGCCCGCAAAGAGAGCATCTCTCCAGCTCGTCCGAGTGTGAACGTGGGACTTTTGTCCCACCTCTGAGTGCCATCATTCCCAGGACCGACGCTGCAGGGGGCACTGCAACTGCAAGTGCAGCAGTGTCTGAGGGTCGGTCCAGCAGACCGGGCACTCCTGCTCTTTGTACTGGTTTCGGGCCGCTTCTGGGTGGTGAGTTCCATATGCATATCAAAAGCCCCGCGCGCTTCTGGCCCAGCAACTCCTTCCATGTGCGGCATGTTCTCTCCCACCGGTCCTCCTACCAGTTTCATATTGTTTCCTCTCCCGACCACCCTCACTTTCTCCACTGTTCTCGCATTTCTTGTCACAAGTCGACCACCGAAAGGAGTGATCGATATATCACCTTTGTGGTAACTTCATGCAGCCAGCACCTTTTCTGTTGCGACTTAGCTGGGGCCCAACTCCACATTGTCGGGTCTACAGGGAGCTGGAGGGGTCTTAAGGTGGGGCAGAACCCCCTGTAGATTCTATGAGAGGACGAGGAGTCCTCCTGTGTCACACACACTGGCCTAATCGTCTGCCTGTGTAACAGGCCATCGCGTGAGGGGCAGCATTCCATCGGCTGTCCCAGGGACCGGGCCGACGGCAGGATGCTCCACGCCCTGCCGTATATCATGTTCTCTCCGGCTCGGTACTCCAAATGGAAGGCCACTTGTGGGGGCTTTCCTCTCTTAGCTTTACCCACTCCCCTCTGCTTTAGTCATCCTCCTTCAGGCAGCGAATACAATTCTCCAGGATGCCCTGTTCGATCTGTCTCAGCCGCTCCTCCCTCGCGTGCTGATACCACAGCCGGGGCTGGATTTCCTCTACCGCTCTCCAGTCCTTAACTTCCCGGTCCCATAAATCCTCCACTCACCAGACACCCGCCTCCAACCACTGTTTTCCGAATGCCCCCATGCTTGCACACCAAGGAAAGTTCGTGCTGTCTGGTTGGGTCACGTTCTCATTCCCAAACAGAGATTGGGCAAGGATGTGGTCACAGGTTTTCGGGTACACCCCTTTGCAAGGGGGTGGCTTTCCAGTCCCGCAGAACCTGTGTCCACATTGCCCGTCGTCGGAGCCCGGTCAGCAGCTGCCACCTCAACATCTGCAGGATCCAGTCTACACGCTTTGGCCATATACTGCAATGTCACATTCTTCCAGGGCGCTTTGTCTCGCTCCATTATCAGCCAGATTACCGTTCTCAGATGTAGCTCCCGGACATGCAGTCCCTGTCCCAGTAGCCCCAGCCCACCTCTTCCTCTTCGCTGTGTCAGGCTTTCCCACCTTACTCGATAGATGATCTGAGGCACGTGCGGGTCCCCCTTCCAAACAATTTTTTTCACCCCACCAAATATCGCTCCAGGTCTCATTAGTGGGCATGGCGACAGCTCCCGCATACCACAAGATGGAGGATACACAGGTATTGACGATCAGAACCCGACCAAACACTCCTGCCTTAGTTTGCCTTCCCCATCTTTCCAGCCTGCGTATTGCCAGCCGTATCCTCTCTTCCAACTGTGTTCCATTAATCAGTACCCCAGGCATAAGTATCCCCAGGTACATCATAGGGTCCCCAGCCGACTGTATCTGAGTGCCATCAAAGAAGCGCTGCTCATTCTGAGCGGCTGCCGGAAGGGCCACAGACTTGTACCAGTTCCCTTCGCTCCTGCGTACATCTCGAATTCCCGAAGCTCCGATCGCATGGCCTGAGCTGCAGATCTCCGTTATGGCCGCTGTGTCATCCACAAATGCGCTGGAGACAATCTGCTCCCCATTTGGCAGCGGAAGACCCTTGAGCTGTTGATTCCCTCTCAGCATTTCATGAAGGTGCTCCACGTACAGAATACATAATGCTGGGGAGAGGGGGCATCCATGCCTCACCAAACATGTCACCTTAAGGGGAGGTGACAGGTACCTGTTGATCTGGAGACATGCTTCCTCCGCAGCTAATAGTCTGCTGACGCATGTGACAAATACACTCCCAAAGCCCAGTTGCTTCAGGCCCGTCAGCAGGAACGACCAGTGCACCCGGCCATATGCCTTTTCAAAGTCAGGAAGGATCCCAGCAAGTCCAGGTTGCCTATTGGTCGCCACTCTTGGGTCTCTGGGTATTTGGATGATTTCTGTGGACTTCTTTAGAATTCGGAATAAGTCTAGCTAATCCAAATAAGATCAATACAATGAACTCATATGTCAATGTCGACGCTCTTGTCTCACCAACACAGTATCCAATGTCACTCCGACTCTCTGGCGCCCAGTGCCCAGCCTACACTACTCGGCCTATCCATGCATATCTACGTTCATGCAACTGGATCACATCGAAGTCGAAGACCAATGTACGTGACGTCATCACCAATGCAGACCGCCAGCATACACCAGATACGTTCTCTCTCCTCTCAGATCGCCCCTTGACTTCCCACAGTGTGCATCCCCGACACCCAAGGACCACCATCACCATCAGCAGCCTCCGCTGAGCAAGCCCGGATATGGCTGCTCAGTGCCCGCTGCACCAGCAGCGCCCAACACCACAATGCGCCCGTTCCTGCCCTTGGCCTACCAGCGGCCTCCAGCGCTCAAACCAGCAGCGCTGCCACCAGCAAGGACACAGCCAGAATCCCTCTGGCTGCCGTGCTCACTTTCCTTAATGGAAAGTGAGCTTTGCTTTGCCGAGCTCTGGGCCTGGCTGGACGAGTTTCCAGTAGCTTCCAGTCCGGCCCCCGTGTCTGTGCCCAGGCCCTCCGTTGCTGTTACAGGCCTGGTTCCTTTACAGTTGGGCACACCCAGGTAGCCCATGAGGCTACAAGTGCTCACCGTGATCTCATTGGCTGCTGGCCAGTGTGTGACGAAGATGCTGGATTCTCATTGTCCCGCGGCTGTTCTGTGATGTGTCGGCCTCTGATGGCTCACGCCCAGGGCCTCAACTGTATGTGCCCTGGGCTCAACTGCCTCTTGAGCTGCTGCTTCCGGAAGAAGCCAGGGAAAGGCTCACGTTACCCTGCAACCAACTGGCGTGCTGCAGCTGTCTGATACCCCACATGCAGAATTGACAAAAATAGGCCTCTCCGGCCCTCTCGTAAATATTCTGGCCCACCTTCACTTAGGGCAGGCACAAGTCTGTACGGGACCTCAGCTGAGATGTGGGGTGAGCCCTAGAAGGGCCACTGCACAGATTCAGGCCCGCATATAGATTCCAACAGCTGCTTCCGGAAGAAGCCAGGGAAAGGCTTAGGTTTCCCTGCAACCAACTGGTGTGCTGCAGCTGTCTGATACCCCACATGCAGAATTGACAAAAATAGGCCTCTCGTAAATATTATGGCCCACCTTCATGTAGGGCGGGCACAAGTCTGTACGGGACCTCAGCCGAGATGTGCGGTGATCCCTAGAAGGGCCACTACGCAGATTCAGGCCCGCATATAGATTCCAAAGTGCAAATTCACAATGAAAGACAATGCCACCCAATTGCAAAAGAAATGAAAGCACTTGCAACGAGATAGAGATCAAAGAAGAAGAAGAAGAAGAAGAAGAAGAAGAAGAAGAAGAAGAAGAAGATGTACACCAGCAAGACAAATGACAAATCCCCCTTCTCTATCAACCTTCCTCCTCCTCCTTCACTTCGCAAATCTTATTCTTCTTCCAATAATAATAATAACAATGAGTGGATGAACCAGAATCAATATCCGAAGTTCCCTCTTACGGCTGACACAACAACAGGTCCACCATAGCCATGGCTTCCCCCTTCTTCCTCCTCTCACATGCCTAGGTTATGGTGGACTACTAAGGGCTCTGCCCTCCTGTGCAAAGGACAACGCAAAGCAGCTATGTCGCTGCACTCGTGTCCAAAGGTCAACACAAAGCAGCTATGCTGCTGCTCACTAAGCCGCCATGCCTGACTCTGCCTCGAGCTTCCTTGGTGTGGCACTACCCCAACCGGGGCCTTCCAGATGCAGCGCCTATCAAGGTGATGAAGATGGTGTCCACCATAGCCAGGTAAGTACCTCACCACTCTCCTCCTCCGCCCCCTTCTTCCTCCTCCTCAGGCTGAGCTGCTCACCATAGCTAGGCTGAGCGCTGCTCTCCTCCTCCCAGCAGTGCTACCAAGTCCAGCGCTTGGCTCCAGCAGTATGTCGCCAATCCTTGCACACCGCAAATGAGGAGGTGCTGCTTGCTCCTCCCAAAGATATACCGGCCTACTGGCCTCTTGGGCGGTGACTTCCTAGGCCGAGCGGCCTCCCAGCAACCGGTACCTCCTCCCTTTCGGAGGGAAACATCATTGCAGGCTCTGATATCGTCCGGACAGGCCCTAGACTCAGGCTACTTGGACTGATACCGACCTACTTCTAACCTACCGCTACTGGGCCTCTAAAAATGCCAACTTTTGTCTTCTTCTGCTCAGCCTCCAGTACCCGACACTTCTACCACTACTTGAGTGGTACTGGCCTACCTGCTACTTGAGTGTTTTTCCCGCTGCTCTAAGTGTCACAGGCCTACCCCCGCTACTTGAGTGTTTTCCCCGCTGCAACCCTCAAAGTCACGGCCACTGGTAAGTACCGGCCCTGCGGGGCCTTTCAACCAACAAGTACAATTGTGGGTCACACACACACTCAGGTCAACAAGCACTCAGGCAGGCACGCAACCCAGCAGGCACGCACACACACACAGACTTAGAAATCACAGCAGAATGCGGGAATCTCAACAAGGCATTCATTCCAGCGGCAAATCCCAGAAATGAGCAGTGTTATCAGTCTGTGTTTTGGCGGGTCATTACAAGCGTGATGGCACTGGCCTGTACCCAGGCCTTGGCACATATTAGCAGGCCCACCTTCACTTAAGGCGGGCAAGACCTTTTCCAGCACTGCCGAGGGCTCAAATCCCCGCAGGGGGGACAAATGCTCCGATCTATTCGTGAGGAGCAGCATATGCTGGGAACTGGGCCCAGCGTCCCATATGAATTATACAAACGTTACCCGGCTTTGGCTGAGAAACACTAAGAAGAAATCCAGACAGATTTTAGAAAACCTTGCGTGAACTGCTGGCGTATTATGCCAACTGCTCATGAAACCACCTCCGAGGCATTACTGAGAATAAAACACAAATCCGATATGTGGCTGAACTTCAGTGTAAGCCCGAGTCTGCAAAACCAAAACCTAGCTGTAAGATGCCACTCAGTAGCCCAAACCTCAGCCTGCGAGGCCGTCCTGTCTTGTTACCAAGCCTTAACCAGACCGCACGCCTCCAACTGCCAGGTTGCAAAGCACCGTGACCCACCCCGGCTCCGGCCAGCGTGGTCTTGATAACAGTCCACAACCAGCCGCTGGAATGCCTTCCACCCTCGGCAATTTCCCAGATCTCTCTACCAGGCCTCATGCCCCTGCCTTGCTCATACAGGGCAGCAGAACCAAGCCCCGGCACCGGCCAGCACCTTTCTGGCCTCGGCCCGTCGCCGGCCTCTGAGTATGACAGCATCAGCAGAAACCCCGGATGAACCACCAAGCACCACCTCAGCCACGGTTCCAGATTGCTACTAGCCTGACTGAACACTCAGAACCAGCCTTCAATCCCCAAACCCTCCTCCGGCAAGACTTATTGCAGTAGAGCCACCATCTCTACTGCTGCTGTGCCCTAACTCAATCCTACCGACTAGCCCCATTAGCAGCAGGACGCGTGATGTCCCTCCATCTCCATACCCCACTCAGCCAATTAGCAGTCACCCCTGTCTGTGTGACCCCTACACAACGGGGCAAGCTGAGGCAAAACCTCCACAGCCCAATCCAAATGTATTTCAGCTCGGCCAGCCTGGCTCCAGCCTTTGAAGGATGTTAACCTCTCTTTGTAAACTAAACTCAGAAGCGCTATGAAGAGACCTTGAGCCTTTGATCCATAGGAGCTTTCAGCCCGAAACCAAACTGCCTAGGTGGCATTAGCACCCCACCCTAAACCCACCTCAGCCCCCGTGTCCCAATGCCCAGTCTCTACCTGGCCTCACATCCCCAACTGCTGGGTTACAGAGTGGCACGACCCACTCCAGAAAATCCCCCACCTGTTAGGCTACAGGGCGAAGTGACCCGCACGGCTCTGACCAACATCGTCTGAGAATCAGTTACCCCAATAGACACTAGAGTGTCTTTCACCCTCGACAACTCCCCAGATCTACCGCTTGAGTTATAGGTCAGCGAGACCAAGCCCCAACACCCACCGGTGTCATTCTGGCCTTGTCTATTCGCAAAAGTCTGGGACCAAAGACATCAGCAGGTGTCAAACGAAAAGGACGCTGTGAGGGGATAGGAGGATCTGACGATAGCGCTTAACGCACGTGTGGCTTCCAGAGGCACTTGGCCAATCCACGTCACAGGCTGACGTGGCGGCTGGCCTGAGGCATTGTGGAAAAGGGAGAAATGGTGGTGGAAGCTGTTGTTTGTCCATTTCTCCTGTGCTTTCCACATCAAGTACTCCATAGCCAATGCCCTTATAGAGGTTGGAGCGCTCGAGCGAGTTGGTGAAAGTCGACGTCGATGGAAGAAAGTGGAGTCAGCCTCGTGGAACCAAAGTGTGGAGACCGCTGGACCAGCTTGGAGCATCATCACAGCAGGAGGATCGTCGGCGAGATCATCATCAAGGGAGCTCTTCTTCACTCTTGTGTTCTTTTGTTGGTTTTTTCTTGTGCAGGTTTTTTCGTCTGAAGCGTTGGTTTATCACCAACATTGCCGCTGGTTGTCTTCACATATCAAAGCTGCTCGTCATTTACCTCATGCGCATCTTTTTTTTGCTGCTGGTCGCCATCTGCATTTCACTGTTGATGGTGGTCATCATCACCATTTCGCTGCCTTATCTTCTTCATGACGATCATTTGGACTTCTCTGTCAAAATCGTAATTGAAACGGTTTCACCCGGTTGACCCAACATTGCAGACA